CGGCCAAAGGATGTCCTTCAGCTGACAGGGCCTTTACAGTTTCACCCAGTCCTCTGATGGTGTCCGCATAAGCTCCAGCGGCCGCTTCAAGACTTGGCAGAATGGGGCCCAAATGGGGCTCCCATTTACTGAAACACCATGAATTTCGATTCCCCATTCCAAACGTGAGTACCCCAGGCCATTTCCGTTACAGTATGTTAATGCTCCATTTGTATTTCCTTATGCTGTGTGTATCGTATAAACCTGGTACCAACGCCCTTCCACGGTATTTATTTGGTGCTTGGGAAAGTGTCAGTTATTGTGCTCTGAGTACCCCTGGAAGGCCCTGACTCGATTATGTTCAATACTTGTTCCTCTGTATCTGGAACCCGAAAAGTCTTGGAACCACTCTCCCCGTCCTTTGTTGGCGTGAGTTCTCTCAGCTTTTGCTATGTTACTGTAGCACTTCCCCTGAACTAATCGCATATCGGTAAATTCGTGAAAGGAAATTCAAAGTAAGTCACAATTTGACAAATTTATTTTTGTTATTATTGACAAGAACTATCCACATGTTACCATTTGTTAATGCCAAAAAACATCATTGCCGCTGTGAACTTTTCATCAAAAAATTGTAGAAGACAACTTTTTTAATATCGAAAATTTTCGTAATTTGGAGCAAAGATCGTAGTTTTTCTTTTTGAGAGCTTAAGTATTCCAATATGCTGCCAATTAAACATGGAACAATTTCTAAATAACGCTTAATAACAAAGTTGAAATTCGATCTTCAACTGTTAATATCTTCTAGAAATTTTCGACAATTGAAGCCCACTCGCTTAAGCCATCTGAACGATCTGACTTGCGCAAGCCAGATCTGTGCAGATGAACTGAACGAAAATCTTGCGTTTACACGTTCAGTTCGTTTTACACAGTTGTGAAGGAAGAGCACCCAAACGTGCATTGTTGCCGACAAGATGGAACATTTGGACGAAGAGATACTTCTTGCAACGGCTGCAGTGTGTGTAATTAAAAAAAAGATGAACTGAAAAACTAAAAGGAAATGGTGTAAACCATGGTTGTTGAACAGGAATTTCTTGTCTCATACGAATTTAATAGCGGAATTACGCAATTATTCTGACGATTTTCGTAATTACTTACGTATGAACGAAGCCACATACTTGCATTTGCTAAAGTTAATTACGCCAATGATTTCGAGAGCAAACACCGTTATGAGACGTGCGATTACCCCCCACGAATCAGCTACACTAAGATTTTTGGCAACAGGAAGAAGTTCGACGAAGGACGAAGATTTCAAATTTTTCACCGTTATTTCCAAGCCAGGTCTGAATAATTTAATTCCAGAACCATGGGCCGCAATTTACAGGGCATTAAAAAACACATATCTAAAGGTAAGTTTAATGAATATTGATAATACAAGAAAATAAATCAAAAAATATAAAGACATTTTTTTTTATTAATGAACTTAATATGTTGATCTTTAATCTAAAGAGTAGGTTCAAAAAAAAATATATACAATTAAGCTGCTTCATCCATACAATATTTGTAGTTGCTAAAAACTTGTGAAGTCGCTCGATGGCTGGGTGTTAGCGGTTTTTCTTCTCGTTGCATATTGGAAATGTAAAATGAGGATTGAATATTAAATGTAAGTTGAGGGAACAATGATTGGTGAACTTTGAATTAATGCTGAGTGGTGAATCAGGGTTGAGAGTGTAATGAGTGTTGCGTGTTTATTGAAGGCTGACTGTTGAATGGGAGTTCAGAGACAAATGGAGGATGAATTATTCTTGAATTTTCCTGCCGAACTTGTAGGAGACAACTACGACTCAAGTTTCCCAACTGTGCTTCGTAGAAAACATCACTTATTAATTTTTCCGCATGCGGCGCTTGCTGTGGATTGAGATCTCCCTTGAGATCAGCTGTTAATCTATTCACTTTTTCCCAATGAATCCAGTGCATTTTGTTTGCTAGTTCTATATTGACAGGTGAGAGTCTACTGTCAATGTGTGCAAGATCTCGGCGGGTTTCATGTATCCGTTCCCGTAAGAGCTCGTTCCGCCCGGTTGTTGGCCTGGTTGGTTCTGAAGTATCTCTTCATCTTCAAGAAGGTTGGAATGATCTTCGTTTCACGGGATCGTAGCAAGAAAGCCAGTGAACACAGGAGCTGCGCCTTCTTCTTACGCAGGTTTTCCAGTTGTCGAATAAGTCTCGATGTTTATTTTATCAGCACCACGAGTCTACAGAGTTCCGTGCAGCTGTGGAAGAGCATACGTCGGCACCACAAAACGAAGCATAAACGCTACGATCACGGAGCACAAACGAAGTTGCAGATTGGGACAAACGGAAAAATCAGCAGTAGCGGAGCACGCATTACTAGACGGCCACCAAATACGCTTCGACGAAGTGGACATTCTGCACCAATCTGAAAGATACTACCCGAGACTCACCAGAGAGGCCATCGAAATATTTAAACACCAAAACAACTTTAACAGAAAAGAAGAAATTACGGCACTCAATCCAGATTGGAAGCGCATTTTGCGCCAAACAGCATGTGCGCCGAAGCGTTTGAACCCCCACCCATCCCCCACGCATGAGCACACACGGCTGGGCTGCATAAATACGACGAGGAATCCAGCAGTTGAACCAGTCTTAGTCGGAAAGCACGGGAGATCACTTCGCCCACTGCCTCATCGCCTTTGATAATGTCCACCGCAGTTGTGGACGAAAC